CCCGCTCGTGCCCAGGGCCACGCGTGTGAGGTCTACATGTGTGGCTCGTCCAAAATGCCGCTTTCCCTGTCGCCCACGTCCTCCTGCCACAGGTGGTGTCACCGCTGGCGGGCTGGCGGGCCGGGCTTGTCTCTCTCACAACTTCAGGTGCTTTCCTGGAGACTGAGGGGCCCGGCACCCTGGGCCTGACCCACGGCTGGCTGCTCTCAGGAGAGCGTGTTCGGGTGGCCCTTTCTCAGACTCCCCGGGCGGTAGAAAGTTGTGGCTGAGTGTCTTGATCCGGTCAGTTAGAATTGGGGTCTTGCCATTCGGCCCCCCTGATCGACCGAAGTGGAAATGCTGACGCGGGCTGACGGGCAGGAAGGGAACCCTGGCACCGCGGAGTTTGGCAAATGCAGAGCACAGGGGAGGTGCTTTCCCAGGGCGAGCTGCTGGCCTGGCACTTGGCACGAGAGCTGCTTCCGGGCTGGGTTTAGGAACTCGCATGCGGTCGCTTGGCAGTTGGTGGAGCTCTTTGGCAGGTCGGCAGGCTTCGATGAGCTGCCGGACACTAAGGCACAGTCACTGGCCGGCGCTCAGCTCAGAGCCGTGGACGTCCGTCCACGAGGATGTCATGAGAAGTGCAGTAGCCGCGTGGCGTCAGAGCTATGCTGTCACAGAAGCAGGGATCTCGCATGTGCAGCGTGTGCCCGTGCCTGTCCCTCCGTCCCCCGGGTCAGGAAGGCGGGTACCCTGCCCTGTGTATCTGAGCACCTGTCCAGGGCTTTTCCTCTGCCCAGAGCTTCTCTGGCCTGGGCTCGCTGACTGAACGTCCCCCCGCCTGTGCCTGCCACACCTTGCAGTCTGGGGGACCGTGTTGGCAGAAGTCCCCATGTCTGTGGCAGGCTGGTACAGGGGAGATGGGTCCCACATGGGGCTCCTCCCAGGTGGGCTGGTGCAGGGGGCGGGGCACGCTGCACATCGGGGCTCCTCGCAGGTGGGCTTGGCACCCTCTGCACAGCATTCATTGATGGGGCTCACCATTCCCCCCTCCCGCAGCTGTGCACCCGCCAGGAGGCAAGGTCAGACCTGTTCCGACCTTCTTCTTGGGTTTGCGGGTGTATACGATGCACCAACGCACAGACTCGCATGCCTCACTTCCTGTCCCCCCCATGCAAGCCGTGGGGCTCTGCCAGTCTTAGCTGGACTTTGGGGGTCCCTTAAGAGCCCTTCTCTGTTGCTGCAATTGTTATAACTGCTGGATTGAGGCAGCTTGATAAATACCCCACTCCCCTCCTGCCTGTCCCTGTGCACGGGCTGTAACCTGGAAACCGAAGAAGACAGGTGGCCATGGATGTGCTGGGGTTTATTGTTTGGTAAACTATGGGCAAAAATGAAGTCCTGTGATAAAAAGGAGCGTCCGGCCTTTGTGGTCACAGTGCTGGTGAGGAGGCGTGTCTTCCTCGTGTCCAGTATAAGCAAGGACTGGCCAGCTGACGCTCTTTCGCATAAAAAAAAAACGCTCTTCTGCATTCAGATTCCGGGGTCGGTTCTCTCCGGGTCATGCAGCCACGTGTGCTTTCTCGGTAGGTGGTCCATTAGAAACGTCGGGAGAAGCTAGTGGGCCCAGCAGATAATGGGCAGGCAGGAGGTGAAGGGTCTGACCTCTTACAGGAATGAGACAGGATGCAGGTCGGATACCAGGGCATGCACGGAGGCCGCACGCTGCCCCAAGGCCCACGCTTGCTCACCGATGGCCACGGGGTGGGCGCATTGCGGGACTGAGAGCCGGAGGAGTCCGAGCATGACAGCTAGGCATGGTGGCATGCATCTGTGAGCCCAGCTGATCAGAAGGCTGAGGCAGGAGGGTCAGGGGTTCAAAGCCAGCCTAGGCAATATAATGGGACCTGTGTGTGAGGACAGAAACTGGGGACAGAGGTGGACATAGTGGTTTTAGCTGGAATCAAATGAGTTTTCAGTGCTAGGGTTTTCATCTGATTTTTTTAATTTGCTGAAGGGCTTGCCCACTTGCCAGAGAGAGACAGGAGGAGAGAGGAAGGGAAAGTGAGAAAGCATCCCCGTGAGGGTGGTCATGCCACAGTGCCTTCTATCCCATTTCCCCTTTGGGCTTTCGGGCACACAGCTCATTTGTTTCTCAAGCTGCCGGGTCCAGGAGCCACGCTGCTCAGTCAGCCGTGTGGGGTCCAGCCACTGGCAGGGCCAGATCCATTCCCTCTTTCCCGGGGGGCGACTCTGCCCAGCCAGCGGTGGGGGGCCCAGCCACTGGCAGGCCCAGTTCCATTCCATGTTTGAACAGACCAGGAGAATGCTGTGACCCGAGCTGGTGTGCAGGCCGTGCTGCAGGCCGGGCAGTGGAGTAGCCTGCCTGCCCCCAGCCTGGGCCTTACCGGGCATGGCAGAACAGTGCTGGCTGAGCCCGGGTGGCCCAAGCTGCACCCTGCTCCCGTGGGCTCCTCCTACCACGGCTTGTTTGTCTCGGGTTCCAGGGGGACCAGGGTGGCCTGAGGACCTTGCAGAAGAAGTGGACCACCTTCCTGAAGGCCAGGCTGGTCTGCTCCCAGCCGGATAGCGGCCTCATCTTCAACGTGCTGCGCGACATCTTCGTGCTCCGGTCCCCAGGCCTGAAGGAGCCTGTGTTCTACGGGCTCTTCACACCGCAGCTGTGAGTGCGCTCCCCGGGGTATGGTGAGGGGAGTCCCCGTCCCTGCTGGCCCGTGCCCTCCAGGCGGTCACACTGCCCTGCCCCTCCAGGAACAACGTCGGGCTGTCGGCCGTGTGCGCCTACAACCTGTCCACAGCTGAGGAGGTCTTCTCCCACGGGAAGTACATGCAGAGCACCACAGTGGAGCAGTCCCACACGAAGTGGGTGAGCTACAGCGGCCCCGTGCCCACGCCGCGACCCGGAGCGGTGAGTAGGCCTAGGCCAGGGATGGGCGGGGACAGGCCTGGGACACGAAACTCAGCATAGGGACCAAGGCTTCCATGCAGCCAGCTTCCTGGCCACACCGAGTCCCCTCCACGCAGACTGGGCCAGGCATCTCTGCGGTGGCCGGGGTCGCTGACCTGGAGGCCCAGTGAGCCCAGCTCCACCTCCCCGTCTCCCCCTTTCCCATGTCGCACAGTAGCCGTGGATGTGCTGCCCAGCCAGACAGCTGTGCCCCTGGCATGGCTGTTTGGGAGACTGACGTGGCACGGCTCGGTCTGTGGCATTTTCCGTTTCCTACAGAGAAGGACACAATTCCGTGGCAGAGGCCTTGCGTGTTGTGAACTTGCTGTCCCCTGGTCAGTAAGTCAGAAAGGGGCGTCAGGAAGTTGGCGGGAAGTGGAGTTAAAGTGCGAGTCTGTCGTGGCGCGGGACACTGTGAGACCCGTGCCTGTTCTCATGTGCATACCCACGGCCTTTCAGGAGGTGTCTGTGTTTCCCCCCCGAAGCCGCGGCTTTTCTGTGGCTGGTAGCATGCATTTCTAGGATGGTTCCTCTGTGCCCACTGCTGGACCCCGGCAGTGAGCGGGCGTGTTGGGCAGTGTGTGTGGGCTGGGGCGGGGGCCCTGCGTAGAGCCCTGTTCCCGGAACTCACCCCGCAGACTGCGCCCAGCCCCGACACCAGCATCGTTCTTTCGTGTGGATGTAACCAGCGCGCGTTGACCGTGGTCCCGCCGTCTGGCTTCCACACGGGGCTGGCACTGGGAAGTAGACTCTTCCTCTTTTTTGCCGTTAGAATTGCCGAGCAGTGTTGGGCTCTCCCCTCCTGTGGAAGAGCTGTCAACTGATAGGTGTTTCATTTTCAGTTTCAGAGACTTGGTTTTATTTCCATCTATAAATAGATTGAAACCCCTGCTCGGTTTGTGTCATGAAGCACATGTGTCATGGCCGCATACCTTGCAGTAAGCTTTTCAGCGTGTCCTCTGCCCTGGGGTGAGGCCCTGCAGCATCTGCTATGACCTATGGGGAACTCACAGCGTGCATCCTCCGTGTCGCCTCTGACGTGGGAGGTCTTTGGAAAGCCCCGGAGAACACACATGAAAAACTATGCGAGGATTTCGAGATGGTTTTGCACCAGAATAAATTCCTACTTTAATTTTCATTCCCTGCCTCCTTTTGGAAGGCCCCTCAGTAAGTCCCTCCACTGCGCAGAGCGGTCCCCGGGGACTCGCAGCTGTGCCAACATGGTGGTTTTGCCCCTGTAGTGCATCGGCCGTGAAGCCCGGGCGGCCAACTACACCAGCTCTCTGAGCTTACCGGACAAAACGCTGCAGTTCGTGAAGGACCACCCCCTGATGGACGACTCCGTGATGCCAATAGACAACAGGCCCAGGCTGGTCAAAAAGGACGTGAACTACACCCAGATCGCGGTGGATAGGACCCAGGCCCTGGACGGCACCGTCTACGACGTCATGTTTCTCAGCACAGGTGGGCTCGGGGGTTGGCACGCACACACTCCCAACAGCAAAAATCTCTCTCTTAAAAAAAAAAAAAAAAACTGGGCTAAGGCCAACTACGTTAGTTTCTGATTGGTTATTTTGCCCAGAGCTTTTTCTTTTTTATTTCTAGTGCAAAGTCATCCTTTCTAGGGGCTGGTTGAGGGTGAAGGAGGGTGTGCATTTGCCACGTGGCTGGCATCCTTGGTTTCTCCTTACGGGGCCACGTGGCCGACCTGTCCCTTTGCCCTGACAGACCGGGGTGCCCTGCACAAAGCTGTCAGCCTCAAGGATGGCGTGCACGTCATCGAGGAGACGCAGCTGTTCCAGGAGTCCGAGCCGGTCCAGACCTTGCTGCTGTCTGCGAAGAAGGTACGGGACCCGGCCGGCTGGCGGGCTCTACCTAGCATGGTGGCTCGCATCTTGGGGACCTGAGGGTCACTGAGCACGGCGTGTGGGCCCCATCTGTGTCCCAGATGAGCTGACTTTCGGGACTTCATAAGCTGTGAGAGCTGGCTTGGAAGGAGGGAAGGCAGACCAGGAGGTGGAGCTTCCTGATGTTGAGCGGGAGCCCTCCACTGTGAGGGGCACTGCCCTGTGAGCACCCTCTCGAGCCCCAAGGCCGGAGGAGCTGCAGACCATGTGGTGGGACGTGGTGTTAGCACCGCTGGCCCTGTGACATCTCGGAGGCTCTTTTCTCTGACAAGGTGCCTTCTGCAGCAGGCTGGGCAGACTGCAGAGGGTGACTTGGGAGTGAGTGAAGCTTCAGGGTGGCGGCTCTTGGTGGCAGCTGCTCTGGCATGGTAGCCCTGCTGAGCTGGGACAATATGGAAGTGAATGAACCTGCCTGCAGACCCTGAGCTTGGTGCTTCCAGAAAGCTTCACGTGTTACCAAATATTCTTTTAAGGTTTTTCAGCCATTTAAAAATGTGAAATCCAGGGCCAGCCTGTACCCTAGCAGGTAAGAGAGCTGGATCCCACAAGGCCAGCCACACAGTTTGAATCCTGGACCCAGTCCTGGATGGCGTATGATTATGTCGCTGGACTCCCACAGAGTCAAATATGGTTCAAATCCTGGACCCGGTAGCCTGAAACTCATGCCGGGTGCTTGAGCGTGCATGCCCCAAATCCCAAGAGGAGATCGGAGGGGACATTTCTCCACCACGTGCATGTGCCCTATAGCAAAAAATATCTCTGTCTCTCAGAAGCAGAAATAGTCTGGCTGCACCCTGACAGGGTGAGGAGTGAGAAGGGATTGCGGTGTGACTGCATCCCTCAGGGACCCCTTCTCTCTCTCTTTCCTGAGTACATGTGCTCTCTGGGAAAAGGCTTTTTAAATAAACATGAGCTGTATGGGAAGAGTCAGCTCTGGGCTGGATTTGCCCGTTCCCTGTCCAAAGTAGCCTTGAGAGGTAGTTCTCCCAACTCCCAATTTCCTGGGGATGGATCAGCATGGAGCAGAGTGCAGGCCGGTCCAGGCCCTGACCTCGTAGTGGCCTTGTGAGCCGGGGCAGGCCAGCGTGCTCCCCGGGCCTCTGTCTCTCCGCCTGTCCAGGACAGCCCAGCGTGCACCTGGGCCTCTGTCTCTCCGCCTGTCCGGGGCAGGGCCAGCGTGCGCCCGGGCCTCAGTCTCCCCGCCTGTCCGGGGCAGGGCCAGCGTGCACCTGGAGCTCAGTCTTCCCGCCTGTCCGGGGCAGGGCCAGCGTGCGCCCGGGCCTCATCTGTGTGGGGTAGAGCATCTCCACCCTGAGTGGCCGTACAGGCCTCACAAGCCTAACCGCTCTGTCCTGGAGCCAGAGAGGGCTCTGCCAGGGGTCACCCCCTCCTCTCCCCTCCCCAATGCCTCCTGATGTTTGGCTTTTCCTGGTAGTGAGCTTACGTCCCGGGCACGGGCCTGGCCAGGCTGGTTCTCCGAGCACAGTGGCAGGAGGGCATTCACACTCTGGTGCCCCTATCGGCACCCTCCATCCCACACCCTCCCTCTGGGAGAAGGAATCTCTGTCCCCGTGAGCAGCTCCTTCCTTCCCGACCCCTTGCCGCGACCCCCTTTCTGTCTGTAGCGTCTGCGCTCTAGGTCCTGTGTATGCGTGAGGGCACGGTTCCCTGCGGCTGGCTGCTCACTGAGCGTGGCATCCTCCAGGTTCATCCACGCCGTGGCACGTGACAAGAGTCCCTCCCTTTCTGAGATTGGCTCAGACTGCATTGTCAGGGGAAGCCATGTTTTGTGCTTCTGCTTGCCCATGATGGGGGTTTTGGGTGCCCTGTCACGAGCTGTGCACCCTGAGTGCTGTCCCGTGTGCGACGGTGTCCTCCAGGCCCTGCTCTCGCCCCTCTGGGCAGAGGTCATTTCCCGGCCCTCCCAGGCCCACGTAGCAGGGTGCCTGTGTTTGCACCGGCCGCTCCTCCATCAGGAGACACGTAGTGTGGCACGGGCAGGAGGGTGCGCAGCCTCCCCCGGCCCACAGGCGCCCGCCACCCCCCGCCCCCCGGCCCCCCGCCAGTCCCAGACCGGAGGTTGCGAGCCAATGCCGGTGGAGGAGTGGGCCACAGTGGGGCGGGGGCCGGAGTGCGCCTGCCCGCTGACGTCCGCACTCAGGTGACTGCCATGGAGCTCTGAGGGCTCCCACGTGTGGCCTGCCCCGGGGCACCGTCGGGAGCAGCGGCAGGGCTCGACTCCCGACACACAACCACCCC